AACAAGTAAATAAATAAGATGTGTGTTAGGTTTTCTTCCTAAGACCAGAGGAGAAAAGTGAAACAGGGAAGGAGAGCTGATTTAAATTGCAAATAGGGTAGCTAGAAGGATTTTGAAGAGGGATGACATGAGCCAGCTGAAGTTAATAAGATCACTCTTACTACTGTATTAAGAACAAAATGAATATGGATCAGGCATAAATTAAGTCTGTATATAGCTTGTCAAACTCAAAGGCTAATATGGTCCAAATTAATGAGACATGCAACCCGCAGGACACGAGTTTGACATGTTTGGTATACAGGCTCTCAGATAATCTTTCAACAACTAGACAGAGAGTTAATCTCAGATGTTAATAAATATGCCAAAGATCACACAGTAAGTAACAGAAGGTGTATCGAAAATGTGTCTGGATTTTACAACCTTACTCTAGGCCCCGTGCATGAATTTTGTGCACAGGGGAAGGTGTATGTGTGTGTCCCTCAGCCCAACCTGCACCCTCTCCAATCTGGGATCTTTCTCACATTCCAGGACTGCTGGCTCCCAACCATTCATCTGCCCGCCTGCCTTATTGTCCCTAACTGCTTCTGTCTGCCAGCTTAATCACCCCCTAACCACTCCCCTGCCAGTCTAATTGATGCCTAACTGCTCCTCTGTTGGCCCAATTGCCCCTAACAGCCCTCCCCTGCTGGCCTGGTCACCCTCAACTGCCCTCCCCTGCTGGCCTGGTCACCCCAGCTGTCCTCCCCTGCTGGCCTGATCCCTCTCAACTGTCCTCCCCTGCTGGCCTAATCACCGACAACTGCCTTCCCCTGCCAGCCATCTTGTGTCCACATGGGGGCAGCCATTTTTTACTATATAGGGGCGGCCATCTTTTGTGTAAGAGTGATGGTCAATTTGCATATTACTCTTTTATTAGATAGAATGTTCAGGCCAGCTATATTTGTGTTTCTGTCTGAAGGAAGGAGACTGAAATGTAAGGGGCTGTGTTCTTGATACATGTTTTGGATAGCACTGAATGAAGATTTGGATGAAGGATCAGCCAATTACCTACACAAAGCAAAACAAATTTGAAAATCTCACTGTGGGAAGGGAGATCTGAAAAGTTTCTTGCAAGCAAAGGAATTATAAATGGTGCAGAATCCAGTGTAACTGAGTTAGAATGCATAGATTAATAAGCTTTTGTGTAGTGTGAGGTCTTTATTATTGAGAAGTTGTGTGTATAATGGTTCAGAGCACAAACTCTGGAGCTGAACTGTGGGTTTTCAAATCCCAGATCTACTATTTTAGGCAAGTTATTTGACTTGTCTTTGTCTTAATTTCTTAATCTGTAAAATAGGAATAATAATATAAAACTAAATGTGTTCATACCATGTGACCAGCAGTCATGCTCGTTGGTGATTACCTGAAAAAGCTGAAGAATGTATGTCAACACAAAAACCTGCACACAGATGTTTATAGCAGTTTTATCCATAATTGCCAAAACTTGGAAGCAACAAATGCACCCTTCAGTAGGTGAATTTATGAATAAACTGAAGGATACATTTTATCCTTCTGTGACATCTTCAGACAATGGAATATTATTCAGAACTAAAAAGAAATGGGCTGTCAAGACATAAAAATACATGGAGGAGTCTTAATATGTATTAATAAGTGACAAAAGCCAATCTCAAAAGGCTACATACTGTATGATTCCATCTCTGTGACATTCTGTAGAAGGCAAAACTATGGAGATAGTAATATGTAGTAAGTCTCAGGAATTATACCTTTAAAACTTTCCATCCATTCTTCTACTGTTTTTCCTAGATTAAAAGAATTACTTTTTCATAGAAAGGATGTATTCATGTTGTTGGTAAAAATATAGTATTTAAGCTTTACAAATATAGATAATTTATAAGTAAAGATAATTTTTAGTTTTTCATGTTAGTATACATATATTAGTATACATATAATATTCTTCAAAGATGGACCATCTTTAATTCTGTATACTGTTGCATTTTAGCAGTAGTGCTGTTAACTTCAACAAGAGATGGCATCTAGCCATCAGAATGGGAGACATTAAAATGGAACTGATATCTCATATTGAAGAAAGCATTTCTTATTGGGGCTATAGAGCCAGAAAAGTCCAAGGAAACAGATTATACAAACAATGAGAATGCTAGGCAGAACCCACCATTCACATAAGTAAAGTATGGTAAACTATTAAAAAGATATTTCACATTGATTGATGCCTAACTGGTGAAGAATTGATATTCTTAATATAGAAGAACATCTTGCAAGTCAATAAGAAAGGGCAAATGCCCAGTAGGAAATGGGACTAAGTTCTGCAGCAGGCAATCCTATATAATAAAGAGGTGATATACAAATTGATGATCACTCCAACACACAAGATGGCCGTCCCCATGTGAACACAAGATGACCACCACAAGATGGCTGGCAGGGGAGGGAAGTTGTAGACAATCAGGCCAGCAGGGGAGGGCAATTAAGGGCAACCAGGCCTTCAGGGGAAGACAGTTGGGGTGACCAGGCCGGCAGGGGCAGTTAGTTGGGGGGGAACAGGCTGGCAAGGGAGAGCAGTTAGAGGTGATCCGGCCAGCAGGGGAGGGCAGTTGGGGGTGACCAGGCCTGCAAGGGAGGACAGTTAGAGGCTACCAGGCTTGTAGGGGAAGTCTATTGGGGGCAACCAGACCAGCAGGGGAGGGCAGTTAGGGGTGACTAGGCTGGCAGGGGAGGGCAGTTAGAGGCAATCAGGTTGGCAGGGAACAGTTAGGCTTCAATCAGGCTGGCAGGGGAGTGGTTAGGGGGTGATCAGGCTGGCAGGCAGAAGTGGTTAGGGACAATCAGACAGGTAGGCAAGCAGTTAGGAGCCAGCAGTCTTGGATTGTAAGAGGGATGTCTGACTGCCCGTTTAGGGATCGGGCCTAAACGGGCAGTCAGACATCCCTCAAGGGGTCCCAGATTAGAGAGGGTGTAGGCTGGGCTGAGGGACACACACCCTGTGCACAAATTTCGTGCACCAGGCCTCTAGTTTATTAATAAGAAAAAAAAAATTTGCCCTAGCTGGTTTGTCTCAGTGGGTAGAACATCAGCCCACAGATTGAAGGGTTCTGGGTTCGATTCCAGTCCAGGGCATGTACCTTGGTTGCAGGCTCACAGTCCTGCCCTAGTTGGAGGCAACCAATCTATGTTTCTCTCTCTCTCCCTTCCACACTCTAAAAATCAATGGAAAAATATCCTCAGGTGAGGATTAACAACAAAATTAATTAATAATTAATAAATTCCTTTTTAAAAAGCCTCTGAACAACTACTTTGCCTCACTAAATAAAGATATGCAAAGTAAAATGATGATTCTGTTAAAAATATTTGAAATGTCCAGCTTTACTGAAGAGAGAAAAGATGCAGCTAGAAATATGTGAGCTCAGACAAGGTTTCCCACCTGAGAAAAAGAAGATAAGGATAGTACACACCTCCTCATGGTACCTGGAGTCCAGTCAATTTTAACTACTGAATGACCCATCGATCTGCACATTATAAGGGCCCAGCAGGAACCAACTGAGGTAAATAACAAGGGTCTGTTCCCAATTCATATCCTTGTGAAATTTTAGAAACCAAAGATACAGATACTGTAGTAGTCTCAGGTTAGTGTCATCAGCAGTATTGTTAGCTAAAATACAGTAGAAAATACCTTCAAAATTCTGGCATGGTTTTCAACCTAGAATTCTGTAAGTAGCCAGATTATTAGCTGAGTACAAGAATAAAATAAAGATACTTTCAGAATGTAGGTGATATCATTCTAATAATCTGGTTACTATTTAACAGGAAAGGAGTAAGGGAAGGCTAGATAATAATATAGGCTTGCGATTTATGTAGCTTTACTAATTTAACACTCTCCAAGCCTGTTCCCTGCTCATCAGTGGGGAAAGGGACTGGACAAAGGCATTTGAAACACATGCCCAGAAAGGTCTGAGCAATATGGGATGCCTGTCAGTCACACCTTGTGAGTGGCCAGAATAGGTGTGGCCACTGCAAGAGAGTGAAAACTGAATACATAAACTACACAAAGCAATCTCTCATGCACAGGGTTCCTGGCTCTCCTGTTGCAGGGGGCACACTCCTTACACCCACATGGCTTACGGCTTTGTGGGACTTCACACCATGGATTAATGGACTTTAATTAACCTAAATGTTTGGACTGGACCCGGCTGCAACATGGAAGTAGGCTCTGGACACTGGCCTTGCTTTTGGCTTTACTGGAACTGTAGCTGCCCCTCTTTCAGGACTAGGTTAAAGGACATGGGACTTTGCAACCCAAGAAATATATCCTCATGCAAATAAAGTCTTTTTGCCACACTTCATTCTCCCATGGGGGCTTCTGAAAAGACTTAGTTCAGTGGTACCCCAAGAGTCACCCCACTCCCTCAAGCTAGGCTTGCAGGGGAGTGGTTAGGGGGTGATCAGGCTGGTGATCTAATTTCTCTTTGATGCCTTGCAGCCACCCTGAAGTGGACAGCCCTCATGCTTGTGCAAGCTGTCTTGCGACACTAAGCACATAGTAGCATTATTTGTGTCTACTTTTTATCTTCCTGACAGATTATAAATGTATAAGGGAGAACATGTCTGATTTATTCTATAATGTCCTTAATATATAGCATAGAACCATCCAGTAGACTAACATGTAGACTATCATGTTCAGTTTTAGATTTTCTAGTAGCAACATTAAAAATGTTGTATAGTATATAAAAATATTTCAATGTAGAATGAATGTAAGAAAACATTTGTGAGATATTGTACATTCTTTGTTTTTGTATTAAGTCTTCAAAATCTTGTACTTTACTCCTTTACATCTCAAATCTGTACTAGCCACATTTCAAGTACGCAGCAGCCACTTAGCTAATGACTACTGTGTTATGCTGCAGAGGTCTAGCATATCACAGTTAATTAGTAAAGAATAGCCAATAGGCAATCTTTAAAAAAATAACTTTTTTTTCTCTCAACAGAAGACCATGGCTGCAGGAGTCTTGCCTCAGAATGAACCACCATATTCCACTTTGGTGAATAACAGTGGGCATGCTGAAAACATAAAAGGTAATCATTCTTTAGTATGCTCTTTTTGTCTCTGTGCAAACTAGAGTTTAATAAAACTATATGAATGGACATGAAAGAAAAGGCATGATTCTTCGTATTGAAATCCCATATTATAGGTACTACTTGTGGCCTTTTGTTTATTTCTGCCTGTTTTGCCTGTTAAAATTCCTTTTCTAAATCCTTGGTCTGTTAAGAAAAAATGTTGAAAATAATGTTTGTCTCCTTAATAATTCTTAGACTGAAATTATCTGTTTATTCCTCTCAGCAAACGCCTCCTTGTGAACCAGACTTTCTTTTGTTCTTTGGTTCCTTGCAGTATCACTTGTAAAGCACATTTAGAAGCACGCTAGCCTGCTCCATCCAGTTTTTGTCTCTCCTTGGTTGCCTTCACGTGATACCAGGAAGGAAGTGTGCTGTAACTTGGACTCTCACTGCCACTTGCTCCTCACTTTTTCTTACTGGCCCAAGTTGTAAGCTGGGAGCATGCCTTGATTTTGTGCCTCTTTGCCACTTCAGTCAGCCAAGAGATGTTGAGTAATTTGGTGTATTTTTGGATAGTACCCATTGCATGATTTTCTTAGTGCCCAAGTTCACTTTATTTTTTTCTGGATAGGGAGATTTATAGGATTATCCCCAAAATATGGATTAGATAATATAAGGAAAAGTAAGGGAATGTGGATTTAAAGTTATTGGATGGAGTTCAATGCTTGCTGAGAGTGTTCTCAGTTGTTTGTGCACTTGTTGGAATCTCCTCCACCAGAGGGAGCTCTCTTTCACCAAGAAAACCAGTGTTTCCCACTTAATGACCCTCTTAGATCCTTCTTGGTCTATTGTATCTGACTACTATAGTGTGAGCAATATCATTTGTGGACAAAATCTGTGTGCCACACTTACTGTATGTTAGTGTCACTGGCTTAGAAAGAAATGCTGTCTACAACAAAAGCAACAATAGTGTATACTTACTGCTTCCATAGTAGAATAATGGGTTTTTATTAACTCTTCATCTAATAAGTGTGAAAGTCAGATGAACCTTTCCCCCTGTCCTTTCTTTTATTGCAGTGTTACTTTTTAGTTGGTGTTTCTCCTTGGGGATTCTGTTGGCTTTAGAGGTGAGGCATCTCTTCATTGTGCAGGAGCGCCCCAGCACTAATCCCTGGGTCTTCCCCAACTGAGTCCATCAATGTCCCCAAATTACAATGACAATCAAAAAACTCTAGACTTCTCCAAACACTTCTATTGTGATTCATAGGTAAGTGTGTTGTTCAGTGAGCCTGAAGAGAAGTGGTAAAGGATTAAAGAAAAGACAGGCAACAGAATACAGCTGGGGCTCAGGGGATCGTCCTTGCCTGAATGGGGAAATAGAAAGACCCAACCTGAAACCGAGGCTTCATTTCATAGTGAGATCAAAACAAGGGTAGTTGTCAACATGTTTACAATGATCCTGTGAGTTTCACCTTGTTTTTGAAGCACTTGCTGCACCTCCCACAGCTCATTGGCTACCTAAAAAGGAACTAGGGAGGGCTATAAGGTCAAGCTTGATTATGCTAAGAGGGCTCTGCCCTCCAAGCTGGGACTTGTTTGTGGCTCTGCCACAGGTTAGTCTGAGGCTTAACACAATAGTCACTCCCTACAGGTAAGCTGATTTTTATCTTTCCCAAAACCATCTTTTTATTTATTTATCCTCACCCAAGGATATTTTTCCATTGATTTTTAGAGAGAGTGGAAGACAGAGGGAAAGACAAAAAGAAATATCGATGAGAGACACAGAAATCGGTTGCCTCCTGCATGTGCCCTGATCAGGGCTGCGGCAAGGGATAAACCTGCAATTGAGTTACATACCCTTGACTGAAATTGAACCTGGGATCCGTCAGTCCATAGGCAGACACTATCCACTGAGCCAAACAGGCTAGGGCCAAAAAACATCTTTATAATTAAAATTGTCCACATTATATAAATGTAGCTCATTTTAAATTTTGGAGCAAAACCTGGAAAAAATAATTTATATATTTTTGTTGTTGCTAATCTTCACCTAAGGATATTTTTTCCATTCATTTATTTATTTATTTTAGAGTTGAAGGGAGGGGTTGAGACAGAAAAAAGATAAACATCGATGTGAGAGAGAAACATTGATTGGTTGCCTCCAAACTGGAGCCGGGATTGACCCTGCAACTAAGGTACGTGTCCTTAACCAGAGTCAAACTTGAGACTCTTCCGTCCATGGGCCAGTGCTCTAACCATTAAGCAACTGTCTGGGGCTACATATAACTTTTTCAAAGTGAATCTTATCTATAACAGTAGTCAGTTATTTTTATTGAGTTAACATTGGGATGGGAACTCTTTTTTTTAAATGTTCGCTAGTGAATCATGGAAAAAATTAATTTGGGGATACATAAAATACTTAAATTATTATTAAAGAAATAACTTCAAGAACTAGCTTTGGAATGAAACAGACAGATTTAAATCTTAGTTCTACTTTTGGGGGGGAAATATCAAACATTTATTTTGGTAACTTTCAAAAATTTACAAAAATACAGTAAAGATACTCATGGAGGTACCACCCATCACCCAGCTTTAACGATTTCAGCTAACTTACTTTCTCCCCTCCTTTCTTGTGCTACCACTTACTTCTTTTTATTCATTAAACATGTCATCATAAGTAATTTAAAAAATTAATAATTGCTATATGTTAGCACATATCTAAACATTGCTCAAATTTCTAATTATTTCATAGATGTATGTATGTGTGAATTGAGATCCAATAAAGGTCAATATTTTATAATTCAACTATAGGCCTAATGCACAAAATCTGTGCAAGTGTAGGTCTTCCTTCACCTGGCTGCCAGCACCGGCTTCCCTCTGGCACCTGGGACCCGGGCTTCCCTTGCAGCCCTGGCTTCGTCCAGAAGGTTGTTGGGAAAGATGTCCAGTCTAATTAGCATATTATGCTTTTATTATTATAGACTAGAGGCCTGGTGCATGAAGTTTGTGCACAGGGGTGCGGTTCCCTCAGCCCAGCCTGCACCCTCTTCAATCTGGGACATTCCTCTCACATCCAGGACCGTTGGCTCCTCACCACTCGCCTGTCTGCCTGCCTGATTACCCCTAACCGCCTCTGCCAGCCTGGATCACCCTTGAATGCCTCTGCCTTCCGGCCTGATCACTCCTAACTGCCTTTGCCTCGGCCCCTGCCACCATGGCTTTGTTGGAAGGAAATCCAGTCTAATTAGCATGTTACCCTTTTATTAGTATAGATATGTATCTTATATCTTTTTAACTTGGGGTTCCCCCTATTCTTTCTATCTCTTTTTTCTTTATAGTTTATTTGTTGAAGAAATCAGGTTTTTTTGCCTAATAGAGTTTGACACGATCTATATTTTGCTGATTATATCCACACTAGAGGTCCGATGCACTAAATTCTTGCAAGGGGCTTAACCCTAGCAGCCCCAGCTTCATCCTGAAGGTTGGCTGGAAGGGCGTCCAGGAGGACATCCGGTCTAATTAGTGTATTACACTTTTACTATTACAGATAGTGTTTTCTATAAATGGAATTGGTAGAGGGATGTAGAGTCTGTAGTCAGGTTGGCTTCTTTTTGGCAACAATATTTCATGGATGATGCTGTTCTCTTTTTATCAAGATGCCCATGATGTTTGGTTGTATTTGTTGTGATGTTGGTTATTTTATTTTGAAATAATTTTAGATTTACAGAAAAGCACACACAAAAATTCTATATACTATTCACCCAAAGATCACCATTCAAGTTTTGTCAAATGGCCCAAAATATTCTTTGGTATATGATATACCAAAATTTAATAGTAAAAGGATACTTGTCATGGATTTGTAGATTCTTTCAACGACCATGGTTTGTTCTTTTGTGACCTTTATGAAGATGACATGCCATTATTTGCAGCATGTTAATTCAATTTTATCTCCTATTTAGTAATGATAGGATTGAGGTTATACATTTTGGGCAGAAACATCACAGAAGTGATTCTGTGCTTTTCTCACTACATCCATCATGGGATAGATGTCATTTTGCCCCATCACTGGAAATGGTAAGTTTGATTATGTCAGCAAAGTGGTGTCTGCCAAGATTAATCCATTTTAAATTATTCTTTTTCCCTTTATAACTTCATAATATTTTATGGAGTGATGCTTTGAGATTAATGTAAATACCCTGGTCCTCGTTTAACTTTTACCCAGTAGTTTTATCATCTATTGGTGTTTCTTGGCTGAATTAACTATTTCTATGTTAGACTAAAGGCCTGGTGCATGAAATTCACCGAGGGTGTCCCTCAGCCCAGCCTGCATCCTCTCCAATCTGGGATCCCTCGAGGGCTGTGAGACTGCCCGTCTGACATCCCTCTCCCAACAGCTCGCCTGCCTGCCTTCCTGATGGCTCCTAATCACTTCTGCCTGCCAGCCTGATCACCCCCTAACCACTCCCATGCCAGCCTGATTGATGTCTAACTGCTCCCTGCTAGCCTGTTTGCCCCCAACTTCCCTCCTCTGCTGGCCTGGTCACTCTTAACTGCTCTCCCTTGCAAGCTTGATTGCCCCTCAACTGCCCTCCCTTGTAGGCCTGATCCCTCCCAACTGGCTTCCCCTGTTGGCCATCTTATGGTGGCCATCTCGTGTCCACATAGGGGCAGCCATCTTGTGTGTTGGAGTGATGGTCAATTTGCATATTACTCTTTTATTAGATAGGATAACTAAACAGCAGTTTCTAATTCCATCATTCCTTCTGGATTTTTTAAAATATATTTTTATTGCCGAAACCGGTTTGGCTCAGTGGAGGGTCCCAGGTTCAATCTGGTCAAGGGCATGTGCATTGATTGCGGGCACATCCCCCATGGCGGGTGTGCAGGAGGTGGCTGGTCGATGTTTCTCTCTCATCGATGTTTCTAGCTCTCTAACTCTCTCCCTTCCTCTCTGTAAAAAATCAATAAAATATATTAAAAAAGAAAAAGGAAATTTCTTTTTTTTTTTAAAAAAAGTGTAT